GGCATTTAGGTTGTTTCCAGTTTCTGGCTATGACAAACAAAGCTGCTGTGAACATAGTTGAGCACATGTCCTTGTGGTACAATTGAGCATCCTTTGGATATATACCCAAAAGTGGTATTACTGAGTCTTGGAAGGTTGTTTCCTAATTTTCTGAGAAATCGCCACACTGACAACCAGAGGTTGTACCAGCTTGCATTCCCACCAGCAATGCAGAAGTGTTCCCTTTCCCCCACAACCTCTCCAGCATAAGTTGTCATCAGTGTTTTTGATCTTGGCCATTCTTACAGGTGTAAGATGGGATCTCAGAGTTGTTTTGATTTGCATTTCTCTGATGACTAAGAATGTTGAACATTTCCTTAAGTGTCTTTCAGCCATTTTAGATTCCTCTGTTGAGATTTCTCTGTTTAGGTCTGTACTCCATTTTTTTATTGGATTATTTGTTCTTTTGATGACTAATTTCTTGAATTCTTTGTACATTTTGGATATGAGACCTCTGTCTGACGTGGAGTTAGTGAAGATCTTTTCCCATTCTGTAGGCTGTCATTTTGTCTTGTTGACTGTGTCCTTTGCTTTACAGAAGCTTTTCAGTTTCAGGAGGTCCAAATTATTAATTGTTTCTCTCAGTGTCTGTGCTGCTGGGGTTATATTTAGGAAGTGGTCTCCTGTGCCAATGCGTTCAGGTGTACTTCCCACTTTCTCTTTATGAGGTTCAGTGTGGCTGGCTTTATGTTGAGGTCTTTGATCCATTTGGACTTGAGTTTTGTGCATGGTGATAGATATGGATCTATTTTCATTCTTTTACATATTGATATCCAGTTATGCCAGCACCATTTCTTAAATATGCTTTCTTTTTTACATTTGATATTTTTGCGTCTTTGTCAAAATCAGGTGTTCCAAGATGTGTGAATTGATATCCGGGTCTTCTATTCAGTTCCATTGGTCCTCCTGTCTGTTCTTATGCCAATACCAGGCTGTTCTCAGTACTGTAGCTCTATGGTAGAGTTTGAAGTCAGGGATTGTGATGCCTCCAGACATTCTTTTATTGTACAAGATTGTTTTGGTTATCCTTGATTTTTTGCTTTTTCATATGAAGTTGAGTACCATTTATTTGAGGTCTGTGAAGAATTTTTCTGGACTTTTGATGGACATTGCATTGAATCTATAGATTGCTTTTGGTAAGATTGTCATTTTTACTATGTTAATTCTACATACCCAAGAGCATGGGAGATCTTTCCACTTTCTGGTGTCTTCCTTTAATTTCTTTCTTCAAAGATTTAAAGTTCTTCTCATACAAGTCTTCCACTTGTTTGGTTCAAGTTACTCTGAGATATTTTATGCTATTTGTGGCTATTGTGAAGCGTGATATTTCTCTGATTTCTTCCCCAGCCCTTTCATCATCTGTGTAAAGGAGGGCTACTGATTTTTTTTTGAGTTAATCTTGTATCCTGCTACTTTACTGAAAATGTTTATGAGTTGTAGAAGTTCCTTGGTAGAATTTTTTTTGGTTGCTTATGTAAACTATTATATCATCAGCAAATAGTGAGAATTTGACTTCTTTTCTGATTTGTATCCCCTTGATCTCCTTTTGTTTTCTTATTGCTCTAGTTATGCCCTCAAGAACTATATTGAATAGATATGGAGAGAGTGGACAACCTTGTCTTGTTCTTGATTTCAGTGGAATAGCTGGGAGTTTCTCTCCATTTAGTTTGATGTTGACTGTTGGCTTGCTGTATATTGCCTTTATTATGTTTAGGTATGTTCATTGTATCTCTGCTCTCTCCAAAATCTTTATCATAAATGGATGTTGTATTTTGTCAAAAGAATTTTCAACATCTAATGAGATGATCATGTGGTTTTTATTTTTTCAGTTTGTTTTTGTGGTGGATTACGTTGACAGATTTTCGTATGTTGAACCATCCCTGCATCTCTGGGATGAAGCCAACTTGATCATGGTGGATGATGGTTCTGATGTGTTCTTGGATTTGATTTGCTAGTATCTTATTTAGTATTTTTGCATCAATGTTCATGAGTGAGATTGGTCTGTAATTCTCTTTCTTAGTAATATCTTTCTGTAGTTGGGTATCAGGGTAATTGTAGCCTCATAAAAAGAGTTTGGAAATGTTCCTTTTGTTTCTGTTGTGTGGAATAATTGGAGAAGTATTGATATTAGTTCTTTTTTGAAACTCTTGTAGAATTCTGCACTGAAACCATCTGGTCCTGGGCTTTTTTTGTTAGAAGACTTTGGGTGACTGTTTCTATTTCTTCTTAATTTGCTTGTCTGGTCTTGATTTATTTTTGGTAAGTGATATTTATGCAGAAAGTTGTCCATTTCTTTTATATTTTCCAATTTTGTGGAGTACAGGTTTTCCAGACATGACCTAATGATTCTCTGTATTTCTTCTGTGTTTGTTTTTATGTCCCCCTTTTCATTTCTGATATTGCTAATTTGGATATTCTCTCTCTACCTTTTGGTTAGTTTGGATAAAGGTTTGTCTATTTTATTGATTTTGTCAAAGAACCAACTCTTTGACTCATTGGTTCTTTGTATTGTTTTCTTTGTTTCTATTTTGTTGATTTCAGCTCTGAATTTGATTATTTCCTGCCATCTAGTTCTCTTGGGTGGGTTTTCTTCTTTTTGTTCTAAAGTTTTCAAATGTTCTGTTAATTCACTGGTGTGGGATTTTTCCAGCTTCTTTATGTTGGCTTTAGTGCTATGAGCTTTCCTGTTAACGCTGCTTTCATAGTGTCCCACAAATTTTGGTATGTTTTTCAAGAAATTTTCATTGAATTTTAGGAAGTCTTTAATTTCTTCCTTGACCCATAGATGATTCAGGTGAGCATTATTTAATTTCCTTGTGTTTGTGGTTTGTTTCTTTATATGCGTAAATCATGACCCAATTCCTTCTTGGAACTCTCGGAGAATTCTAAGAAGTCTCGTTTTGAGGCACTTCCTTTACTTTGATAGGGAAACATGGAATCCCCTGTAGTGGATATTTAACCATAGGATGTTTTAATGTATGAATAGTGTGAATTCTGGCCCCAGATCTTTATCTTGGTAGCTTTACGATCAGGGATTTTCAGTGATGTTTTTTTCTCCCTCCTTCTGTATTGAGGAATATGTGGACAGTACATGTAAATATTTTCACCATTTATGTGTGGTTTATTTTCATTTTTTCTTCTCCCACATTGATTAAGAGTATTATTTTCAGACTGTCCTGGTTCTCTGCAAGGTTATAGTCTTTGTTTCAGTACCTACCTGTCTTTAAACCCCAGAGAGCTGGAGAATGGCTGCCCAGCAGAACTCTTCTTTGTTGAACCTTAGCTTTTCTTCCTCTTTGCCCTTGAGGATATCTTAGCATAGCTATGTATTTAACTGAATACATTGTTATTTAAGTGAACCTTGAAGTAGCTTTTTAGATACTATATGCTATGTTTCTCTACAAATGTATGGTCTTCCCTGTGCCTGAAATGGCAGTCTTGGTCTGGAGAGGGACTCAGTGGTTAAGACCACTTGCTGCTCAGTCATGAGGACCAGAATTTGCATCCCAGCACCTATATCGATAGCTCACAAATGCCTGTAACTGCATTTGAGAGATCTGACACCCTCTTCAGGCCTCCATGGGCACTCACACACGTGTGTATATATACTCTCTCACACACACCCTCCTCTGGCCTCCATGGACACTCACATGTGTGTGTATATATACTCACGCATACACACCCTCCTCTGGCCTCCATGGACACTTA